CCCCAGCCTGTATTGATACTGGGGGTTGTTTGCTCTGACCTAGGTGCAGGACCTTGCACTTGGCCTTGTTGAACCTCATAAGGTTCACATGGGCCCACTTCTCAAGCTTGTCCCTGTCCCTCTAGATGGCATCCTGTCCCTCAGGCGTGTTGACTGCGCCACTCAGCTTGGTGTCATCTGCAAACTTGCTGAGAGTGCACTCGATCCCACTGTCTATGTCATTGATGAAGATATTAAACAGTAGTAGTCCCAGTACTGTCCCAGACCCTTGAGGGACACCACTTGTCACCGATCTCCATCTGGACATTGAGCCGTTGATCACTATCCTCTGGATGGTACCATCCAACCAATTCGTCATCCACCGGAATTCTCTCCATCTAGTTTCTTTCAGCTACGTGGATTCAAACCCCGCCACTCCCAAACAAGTCAAGAGGATTTGGCAGCTGTACAATTAGATACTAAAACATAATTCTTCCCTTTGCAAGAATCTAACCTCTGCCCTCACATCAGGAGTCCGAGTTTCCCATCATTGCTGGAAATGTACCACTGTAAATCAAAGAGTAAGACACAGAGAGTTTGAGCAGCCAATGCCTGTGAGAATAAGTTGCAGTGCTTACTCTGGAACACATTCGCCAACATGGTGAGACTTTCCTGTTGTTGTGAAACTGGTTAGTGGAAACAGATGTGCATATTCCCAACAGGTTAAGCTTTTTATTGTACAAAGCAGTAAGGCAGAAGAAATTATATTCTGCCTTTTAAAGGTTAATTGTTAGACTGGGAAAGCATTCATCCCATGCGCTGGCAGTTTGAAAAGAACCACATTTACTAACAGTTTAGATGAATGCCTAGAATCTCACTGTCCTGCTGCCTCAATTTGCTTCCTAAAAGGTTAAAGAAAAAAGGCCCTGCAATCACAGCATCATGAGAAGGGCTTGTTCCTAAGCATCCATCTAGCACGTGTGACCTGCCAGGATTGATGACTCCACTTGGCTATGCATAGGAAGATCTGGAGGTTTAAAATAAATTATCTTGTCCTGTTTGGCCTGGATCAGTGAACTGGAAATCACATGGTGTTTCCCTTGTTGAGATATAAATGTCATGAAGGGACCCTGTATCTCAGGTTCTGGCTTAGTCTGGCAGACACATGGAAGTACAGAAGGACATGAGAATGGAAATGGCTGGAAGAAACAGTGTAAATTCACATAGCCGATATGCTAGCATGACACACTTGCAAGCCACTGCTAGGCTGAACAAAACAAAGGAGATAAAATGAGTCTTAGAAAGAACGGTTAAGCTATTTGTATGTATTTGAGCATATGTAGGAGCCTCCCTGTGAAAAGGCAGGACAGCCTACATGCTTCAGAGGCCACCTTTCAATAGCACCAGTCATTCAGAGAGCACTTTGTTAGCCCAGCAGCTCCCACAGAGCTGTGGGAGTTCTGGGTGTGGTTGGTAGCCCTATCCATCCTGATTAGGTTGCATGCTGTGTGCACACAGGGCCTGTAATGATTGTCAGATTAATTACAGTAGGTCAGTCATTGCCACCGTGAAGCATTGCAGCAGGTTGCCATCAAAACATCACGACCTGCCAAAGCACTATTTTGCAGAACAACCCACAATAACAATGACCCATTGATGAAGTGGGTTATTGCAGAGCAACAAATACCTGACAGGCATTATCTTTTTTGAAGTCAGGGGCCACATACCTTCGCCTAGCCCACAGCAAATGGGAATTAATGTGAATTAGCTCAGCACTTGCTGAAACAGAGCTGAAAGCTTTTACGCCAACAGGAAACATCTCGTATACTCTCAGGCTCCCAGTGAGGAACGGGTGAGTGGTAAGAAGCACTTATGTTCTTACCTGTGGCCACCAGCAGCCCAGGAGCCGTGTCTTTGCTGGAAATGCTTCCTGAAGTATACGGATTCTCTGAGAGTTGCAGATGTAAGTGCAATGAGCAAAAGGGCTGTTGACAGGAAACGAAGAAAAGGCAGAAGCTTTAATATGCAACAAGTTAAATATCAGAGGAACCCTTGGCAACTGCACACAGATGCTCTGATCCTTCTGAAAATGACCCCTCTGCTCTTAGCACTGCTACAAATAGCAGCATATGTTCATTTTCTGAATAAGCACTATAAAAGTAGCTGAGAGCAAGAAAAACAGGCACACTGCATTACAACGTCTGCATTTGTTTTAACCAACAATCTGATCTAGAGCACTTTTTCCCAGAAACTTTCTTATTCTGACTTAAGTTCCATAAAAAAAGGTCAAGAAAGGTGGTCAGAATTTTCCCTTAAAATCTATGAAGCTATAGAAAAAGAAATCTACTTAATTCAATTAACACTCAACAGGTCTAGAGAAAAAACACAGGGAGAAAGATTGACCAGTGCAACTTCAGAGAAATACACAGGGGCTGTTCACTGAAATGTTGTTGAATTATGGCAGTAAGCCCAATCCTAAGTTCTCGTCTGTAAACTGTGCCCCCATTTCGGAACACCTGGACTCTGCAGTTCTTTGGCTGGCAAGAATCCCTCCTACCCAGTTTCACTGGATGTTTTGTTAACCCAGTGACTCAAATAAGCAGCTCTGAAGGAGTCAATTGTGCTTTGGAAAAGGTCTGCCACTCACCAGCTGGCAAACTACAGGATCCCCTCTTAGATCTGTGTCCGGTGCCTGCAGCAAACGCCAGTCTCTGCCCTTGTTGTAGGTAATGAAAGTCTTGATTTGGTCATCTATCTTCCTGTTAGCCAGGAATATGCCTTTGATCCCTGCTACCTAGGAAAAATGGAGAGAGATGAAAAAATACATCGGAAGAACAGGCCAAAAGTAAGGCCCATCTGAGCACTCTTAGGAGTGGAAGGTCTCTGAAAAAGCAATAAAGTCATCTCAATCCAGCCTTAGAAGACTGTGAATGGCATTACAAGTACATCTTAATGATGCCTGCACAGCTGAAAGGCCTCGTGCAGTCTCTCTCTCTGGAAGAAAAAGACGAGGATGTTCACAGAGCAAATCCCTGGGAAACAGCCCACTTCTGGATTTCCTTGAGCGCTTGCAGACAGGCTGATGATGGGCTTGGAGGTACAGCATGCACTGTGTCACACATGGGCTCTGTGAGCCTGGGGATGTGGTTCGCCCTACTCCCTCCCCAGATTGCCATAACACGGGAGAAAGCAGGTCACATCAGAAGCAGTGTGGGATCTTTTTGAGTTAGTCTTTTTTTTTCCTTTTACACGAAAGATGGAAGTCCTGAATATGCTGAAACACTGATGTTTTGCAAACTTGATTTCTTCACTTTCCTTCCAGTCCCAAATTCTGTCAAAATCAACCCAGTTGTTCCAAATGTTATGATTTTTGTCAGCAGAACCCATTCCAGCAGAATATGTGCCTGTCAAAATGTCCCGAAGAAGGTTTTCTGTTGAGTCTGCTCTCTGTTGCACAGCTGTGAAAGTGAGACAGGAAGAAGGAACTTGCTGCAAACCTGCAAGTTGTGGCAACAGCCAGGATGCAAATCCTTCTACTCTAAAGCCCCCTGAGTGACACTGCCCTTTGAAGGACTCTGTGAAAATCTCTATCAGCATTTAACAGTAAAGGGTCTATGATACACAGCTGGGGAATAGAGAGTTTGCCAAGGAATGGGAGATGATGCATATTTATTTCAGCTGGTTCATCACAATAAAGAAATACACCTTTTTTCAGAGGCAAGAAAATGTATTTAACTAGGTGAAAACAAAATGGAAAGCCTGTCCTTCATACTGATCCATGCATTATTTTTGAGTTTTCTCTCATTGCCTTAAACTACCTGGATTTTTATAAACAAATCGATGGTCTTGTTAAATGGGCATTATTCTGGCTGAAATAAGTAAATGTATAATCCTAGCTTCTATTTGTAACTGCAAACACATTTCTCCATGTAACAGTAGAACTTTCCCAAGTCAGCTTGCAACCTTTACTATTAGTATTATCAATTAGTTGTTTGTTGCTGGCAAAGCACTGAGCCCTGAACCTCAGCAGATCTTCCATCCAGTAAGTTATTACACACCAAAACCAGAATGCTCTGAAAAAAACCAGGAACTGGAACAACTGTTCTGAATGGACTGCTGTTGGCCAAGGCTGAAAGGCCTGGCAGAAGAGTGAGAATGGAAGATGATTCAGGATAGAAGTTATCCAGCTGTTATCTCTGGGTAAATGGCACCTATAAACTTTTGTTTATAATTCATAAGCTGCTCAGGGTTCACAAAGGCGGAATCCATATTCCCTACCTGCAAGCAGGCGTCTTTAGCTGTTCAAGGGGAAAAACAGTATTTTGAGTCCTTCTCTAGACATCCACATTAGGATGAGAGGGATAATGGTTTTCCCTTTTGGAAATGCCACATAGCTAACCAGTCATTGACTTGAAAGCAACCAGCTGTCACACCTGTAGCAGAATGCACTGCACCTATTCCCACATGCGTCGGCTCAGCATCAAATCCAGTAAATGCCTCTGGGCTGAACCCAAAACAAATGAAGATCCTGGAAGGCTGGTAAGAGATTTACACTCGTTTGAAGTAGCGAGCAGTTGCTGTTCTTTGTAGGGTGACCTTTACTACATACCTCATAAAGGTCAATGATGATATTCCCCTCCAGTCCTCGACTGCTTTTCACGTTTTCCAAGGCCAGGGTGAAGTACACCCCTCGGGTGTCGGAGATATACAGATTGTACGTGTCGTTCTGGTTCCACTCTTGAACAGCTGCAAACACCTGATTCTCATCTGTGCTGATAATATGCATGTCCTGTTAAAAGAAGACAAAAGGCCTATTAGTGAGGATCTCTGTATTTCTTTGCCCTTTGGGACATGTAGTAATTACCGTGACTTATGAAAGAATGGAGATGGAGCATGAATTATAGGTATGTTAAACAATTTTCTCTTAGAGCAAGCCAATAAATTACCACCATTGTGACTTTTCTGCATTTCATTTTTTTAATGATCACCAGCTGGGCGAAGGATTTTTGCTCTCTTCATTTTTGGTAGCTTCAAGGAATTTCATCCAGTTTCATTTTTTATTTATAAATTTGAAAGGCAGTTTTATCACTCATGGAAGATTCACAGCCTTGGAGCCTGGAGTCCTCATAGTCACTAAGCGTCAAATACCAGGCTAAAGGCAGTGACAATTTCCATCCACATGCTGAACTAACGGGCTTGTGCTTCCAACTGGCAAAGAACCAGTTTAAAAAACTTGGGAGTTTACATTTATTTGAAGCTGAGGTATAGGGATCAGTTTGAGCTAATGCTGGTAGTGATTTTTAATAATATACTTTTCTATTGAGAGTTTGTCTGAGATCTATTATCCCACTATATAAAGGCTATCAAATAATCCACCCACTAACCTTGGTTGGATTCCTGC